TCCATCCATCCATCCATCCATCCATCATCCATCCATCCATCCATCCATCATTTATCTGGTTTCTGGGGCGTAAAAGCAGAAGTTTATTTTATTCCATGGTCTCATGCGCCATCTAGTGTTCAAACCTGAGAAGTGCAGTGATGACGCGCCCAGGTCCTGTTCATCTTGTTTCAGTGGTTGAGTTTTAATGTTTTAATGTGAATTATGGATTTCTCCATAAGGCTTCCACCAGGAAGTCATGTGCATTAACACATAAAGCAGATCGATCGTGTGGCCTGCTTCGTATATGGGTCTGTATCCTTCAGATTTTGTCAGCAGAGTTGGGGAGTGGGAGGGCAGCATAAATCACTGGCAGGTATTGAAAGCTGGGCTTTCAGTGGCAGAAGTTGGGGTTGGCCTGAAGGCCAGGTATAATCCATACAGCAGTGCTCATCTATTACTAAATGGGCTCTGAAGTAAATTCAGATTGATAACAGATCTCAGGAAAGCAAGCTTCCACGTCAGCCATTACTGCAAACAACTCCACCCCCCACCCCCTCAAACAAGCACACACCTTTTTGTAAGGGCCAAATTGTGTCAAACAAGGGGTTCCTGGGTGATGATATTTGCTGTTTTCTTCCCCCAAAGTGAACATTTGGAAATGTTGGCTGAATGCGCCGAGCATGACAAAACATGCTGCAAGGTAAATAGTTCAATCACCGAGGTTCTTGAAGAATGAAAGAAAAGACAGATGCACACGAGGAGCAGTGGTGGAGGCAGAGAGAGAAAATGATGCTCACATTTCTCTTCACATATCCAAGGCACACTTTGATCTTTCATGTCCACTCTTAGTGTCTATGTTCCTTGGAATGGTGTTTTCAACATATCATGCATGCTGTTAGCAAAGAGGAAGACATAAAGTGTGCTGACGTGTGCACGGCAGGCTGGGGAGCATACTGAATATGTGCAATAATACTAGCCCTGCCAGACCTTTCATGCACCGGAGCAACTTTTCAGTGACTGTCAAAAGAGGCATTTATCACTTTAATCCCCACCTGGCACAAAGAATAAATGTTACACATCGCTGCCATACAGCCGAGCTTCTCCGTGCACATGAACAGGTGGTCATCCAGAGACGTCAAAGCCAAACAGTAGCTGGAGTCCAAGCACTCACCTGCTTCCATTGTTCTGTGCGCTACGTGTGTAAGGCATGTTTGAGCAGCATTTATCTCAGGCTTTATTTCCTCGGCACTCGTAGTTAGATGACAGAAACTCCACTTTATTAGGCACATATCTGGATTTTAATCAATGTGGGGTGAAACAAGTGCACTTTACTCATCCACAGCTCATGTAGAGGCCCCACAAAGTAGATTTGATTCCTGTTTGGCTCAGTATGATTTCACTTGAGACATTTGCCATGTTTTGTTGTAAAAATCCACATGACATATTCCTGCGCTGGATGAGCAAACCAAGCTCTTGTCACGTTTAACCTCAGATACAGACGCTCCACCGGTCCCACAGCAATCAAACGATTCATTGGTTTTATCATGTTTTAACAGGATGCTGATTATTGATTGTCCTGATGGAAACAGGAAATCGCAGAGATAGAATTAAAATCATCTGTTGTTCCCGGTGTGAGGATGCCCAGGGGAATGGGAGGCAATTGCACGCCATTGAGTGGCATTACCCCCAGCAACCACCTCCCCTCCAGCCTCTCCCCTATGGAGACCTGGAAGAGACGTCATCTGTGGTTGTTATGCTGCGAAATGACGCCGGTGCTCTTCCCCACCCCCTGCTACTGCAATATTACCCCTGTGGTCTGTTACGGAAGATGCAGCACTCTTCGTCTGCACCATTTCCAGAATGAAGTTTGACGCCTTAACAGTAATCAGCGCTCCACCATCATTTCCCTCATGTGGAAGTGGAACCATTTGAGCGCAGTGCTGATAATAATATCAGACTAAATGCATCTACACATAAAGCTCGTGACTGGCCTCAATCCCGTAAACCTACGTGGTTGTCTGTGCCGGGAAATTTTTCCTTTTTTGACCCAAACCATCGTTGAACGGATGATTTATTAACAAGCTTCAGTGAAAACTGAACAAGCTGCTTTTTGGATTGTTTGTTTGTTTGTTTTAGCTTGTGTGAGGAAAAAATACCCTTGTATCTTCACACACACACACACACACACACACACACACACACAGCAGCCCCTCCCCATGCCCTCCCTTTAACATACACACACTCACACACTCTGGAACAGCACGTCACTGAGCTCGGGGAATGAGCGGCTCATTAAGAAGAAGGATGTGATATTCTGAACAGAGACTGTGAGACTCCCAGCACGTCTATTTTTAGCGCAGATATCTCTATGGCGCTCAGTGTGGTGGCAGTTAATTGCAGCCCCGGCCCCAGATACCAATTAAGAGTGAAACAGATGCTTTTAAGGTGGGACATCAAGGTTCAAGCTCAATCATCCAGGTAAAAAAATCCACCAATGTTCAGTCAGGTCATCTGGACCGTTCCTTTGTTGTTGTTGTTGTTGAGAGACGTTTCATCCTCCATCCGAAGGGCTTCTTCAGTCTGAGGAGCCACAAACAAACTGTCTGCCCACTAAGCAGTACTCGCCTACCAATTTGCTGGTGATAAGCTGGTGGGTTTCTGGGGGCCGTCCGACCTGACTGAACATTGTTGGGTTTTAAGGTGGGGTTTCTCTCCTCCCTGCAGGAGAAGGTCCTCATGTCCATCCTTGGAGGAGATGCAGGGTGCAGTCCAAGGCTCAGCTGGGCTCCTTTCAATGAGCCTCTGTGGAAAGTGACATGGAGATTGTTTTTTCTTCTCTTTGCTCTTATGGCTCTGGCTGCTGGATATTCACCAACTCGTTCATTTGCTGTGAATCTTAGAGCTTCTTAGAGGTAAGGGATACAAATGTGCTCAGTGATCTTTTTAACCCTTGCAGCACTTTGCTCCTCTGTGATGCCAAAGCCTCGGCTTGTGCAGGAAAGGATGTTTCCTCATGACATCCTGTTACTTCATGCAGCAGAGCTCCAGCCACCTGCCGAAAGAACAAACAGTGTCCCTCAACAAACAGACCCCAGGTTCCCATTCATGGTCACAAGGTTCAGTTCTGGACCGGTCCTGCAGCACAGACCAGTTTGTTGGTCAAATAAATTACATGGCAGCGCCACTGTTTGCCTGAGCAGACGACAACGACCTTTACCAGCCTGTTGGTTCGTGAGGCCGTGACGACAGGGATTTGTGTGGTGGGTTTTTAAACTGGTTTATTGGTCAGTTCATAGACGACGCTGACGCGGCTGCAGCCTCACTACGTTCATATGTTCTAAGAAGGTTGCACTATACTAGTAAATCATGGCATTACAATACTGTTGAATATTATGATAAGAATACTTGGGATAAATGGCTATTTTATTCACTTCTATTTGTGTTTTATGCCTTGATGCTCACAACACCCTGTTTTAGCCACAATCTTCTGAATCGGCCGTGAACGATTGCTAAAAATATAACTCAGATGCTGCCATTCATCACAGCTCTTTGTGGTGCTGAAGCTGCGCACATACAAAAAGTGTTGGAAGTACCGACACTACCGTCTAACTCCGAAGAAAGAAGAGGAACGCCTTCGAAAACTAGACAAACTGCATTTTCTATGAAAAGTCAGCATCGATGTTGAGCACTGAGAGACCGCTTGAATTGGATGAAGAAGCTGTAACTGAACAGTTTTCAGCTAAAAGAAGCAAAACAACAGCTAAAACCAAAAAGTAGCAAAAGGTTAGCTGAAAGTAGCACAAAGCTAGTGCAAACTAATGTAGCAAAAGGGTAGCTAAAAGTAGCCGAATGGTAGCTAAAAACTAAAAGTAGAATTTTTTTACCTGGCTTATTGAGCATGAACTTTGATGTTTTTAACAATAGCTGCCTCAGAGGAGTCGACGGGGGAAAGGGCGGACTCCAGAAAACATCTTATCAGCACCAAACTGGGTGACCCGCAATATGTGAAGGTGCTGTTCATGGGCGTGAGTTTGTTGTGGCTCCTCAGACTGATGAAGTCTTTTGGATGAAGGACGAAATGTTTCAACAAAAAAAGAAACCATCCAGAGGACCTGACTGAACTTTGTTGGATTTGATTATTGAACATGAACTTTGATAAAAGTAGCAAAGTGTCAGCTCAAACCCTAACCCTAACCCTAACCAGTTCAAAGTGGAAAAAGTCGAGCTAATGGTGGCACAATGCTAAAGTAGCAAAAGTACAAGTAGAGTGGCAGCTAAAAACTGAAGTAGCAAATGGCTAGCTAAAATTGCAGAGCGGTAGCTAAAACCTTATGGTAGAAACAGGTAGCTAAACCTAGCAGAAGAATAGCTAAAAGTAGCAAAAGGCTAACTAAATGCTAAATGTAGAATAAGACTAAATCAGAGCAAGTAACATTGTTTTTAAAAGAAGAGCTCCAAAATATTTCTATGAGGAAAGCATTTGTAAATAAAGTTGTCTTTTTAAAAGTATAAAGTTCCAAATATCACAAGCTGCATTTGCCCAACGTGTTGACGTATAAACAGCATCAGACAACAAGACAGTTAGTGATGTACAAGTCAAATCTCAGAGGTTTGTCCATTAAAAGTAACAATGGAAACGTAACTGCACGCACACTGTGAGCCAGCAGTTCATGAATAACAGCCATGTTTCATGTGTGTAATGTGATCTGGAGCTCCTCTGACGCGCACGCACGCAGCGTTTGTGCTTTGCTGCCAACAAATAGAAACAAAGCCAGAGCTCACATAGATGACGGTTTGCAAACAATTTGAAAACACTGATTGTAGCACGGGCCCAATATCACTTGGACTGTGGTTGTACAAGCACTCTCGTTTTTGGCATGCAAACAAAATGTGGTGGGAGGAAAAATGTGGAGGCTCATGTGACGCGTCATGGATGAAGAGAGGCTAGCTAACTTTATTAGAAAGGCTCTTTGACTAACGGTCTTGCTCTCTCTCCTTGTTCTCCTCTCCAGTTCCACCAGGTTAGAAGAGTGATGACCATCCTGTTCCTTACTATGGTTATTTCATACTTCAGTTGCATGAAAGCTGCGCCCGTGCGTGATGTCCCGGGCGTGCGGGGCCATCGGACAGAAGGCTACCTGGGCGCTGCTGCAACGGCTACTCGAGGCCATGGGAGTCTGCAGAGCGGCGGCGGGCCGGGCCAGCGCGGGGAGCTGCCCTCGCTCACAGACACGTTCGAGCAGGTGATAGAGGAGCTGCTGGAGGTGGAGGGGGAGGCGGCGCAGCTGGGACAGGGGGCCAAGAATCAGGGAGGTGGGGGCCCACCGCCTCTGGTCGCCACAGAGACCAAGGATGTCGACCTGTACAACTCGCGGGTGATGATCAGCAACCAAGTGCCTTTGGAGCCGCCACTGCTCTTTCTCCTGGAGGAATACAAAAACTATCTGGATGCCGCTAACATGTCCATGAGGGTGCGGCGACACTCGGATCCCTCGCGGCGTGGAGAGCTCAGTGTGTGTGACAGTATTAGCCAGTGGGTGACAGCTGTGGACAAAAAGACGGCGATAGACATGTCTGGGCAGACAGTCACCGTCATGGAAAAGGTCCCTGTCCCCAACGGCCAACTGAAGCAATACTTTTATGAGACCAAATGCAACCCCATGGGGTACACGAAGGACGGCTGCCGAGGAATAGACAAGCGGCATTATAACTCCCAATGCAGGACAACCCAGTCCTACGTGCGAGCGCTCACCATGGATAGCAAAAAGAAGATTGGCTGGCGGTTTATAAGGATAGACACTTCATGTGTATGCACATTGACCATTAAAAGAGGGAGATAGTGTATAAAATGTATAGATTTTATTGAAGAGTTTAAAAAAAGAGAATAAAGAGAAAATATCTATTTGTATATATACATAACAGGGTAAATTATTCCGTCAAATGAAAAATTTTATGGACTGCATGTAAAAAAAAGATGAAGTTTATACAGTAAAAGTGATATTACAGTCTATTTATTGAACATATTCATGACCTTGTAAACAATTAAAAAAATCTGATCAGTCATTTGCGCCCAGTTTAAATTACTATAACACATAAATCAAGACATTGTGATTTGTTGCCAAGAATTAGAAAATGAAGGGAAAAACACACAACAGGCAAGAAATGAGAGGACGGTTCCATCTTCCAAAGCTTGCATGCTGCTTCAGTTGTGAATTGACAAAATTGTCCACCTCCAAAAAAAAAAGGTTATGATGCTGACCAAAAAAGAATAAAAACCATTTCGTTTACATATAGAGCTGAAAAGAGTTTCCTCTCCAGTAATTTATCTGTTTACTGTTCTAAACTTCTCAAGGTAACGTTACTTACTATGTCAAGGTGCTGTTGTCAAAGCTTTGCTGTTTATTTTTTTATCCACACCAGAGAATAAGATATATTTAAAGAGCATATATATAGTCATTGACATGTTTCTGGGTTCATATTATTCATTTTGTATGTTGTGAAGTTGTTTGCAATATTAAACTGAAATCTTTGAAAAAAACAAATAAATAAAAATGATTATAGGCAACTGGAAAAACAAAATCAATGTGGATAAAGTTTCAACAGTGCATTTTTAGGCAGCTGTCGGACCAACAGACAGTAAAAGTGCTTGTTCTTCAAGTTCCTGTCAACAGCAACATGTTTTATAGCAGTCGAGTTCTTTTGTGGGTTTTTAGGTTGCACAAAACTAATCATGGGGTAATTTGCTGGGAAAGTCAACACAACTGGGAATGATGCCGCTCTGTTCAGCTGTTTGAGAAGACAAAAGAAAGTGGGGAGAGAGAAGCTCCTCAACCACTTCTTGTTTCCCAACACCGCTTCAACGGAGTACAGTTTGTGTGGATCAAAACGTTGGTGATTTATTCGCAGGTGTCTGAGCCCGGCGATAAATTCCACTCGCACAAGTTTCACAATTACAAAGCTCACAGGAGAAACGTGTCTGCAGGTGCAGACTAGTTGGGTCCACATCAGGCACGCCCGACTTCCACACGGATGCTTCAACCACCCATACGTTTGTGTACGTTCAATATTAACAGCCAACATTTTTGTTATGAGTGCGTGGTAATGCCGTCTTTAAATCCAGCTCAAAAGAACAACTTCACAGATTTTATCGCTACAATCAGAAGGAAAAGACTTTCTCCACTTGTTCCCTCCAGCATTACATGATGGGAAAACTTGGCTTGCAACTTAAGTTTAAGGTTGAACAGCAATTTATTCATGAGAAAATGCTCATATACATCAAAAGTACACAAGAGCTACAGTTACACATCATGTTTCTGTGGAATATGACCCCAAACGCTTGATTTGATGTCGTCCTCCCCAACCTGAAGGTAAGTGTGACGAGTGGAGAAGAGGCTGGGCTCACGTTCTGACATGTGCTGATGAAGATGGTTATGAAAGGAAGAAGAAGTCGCTCCACAGGCAGTCTATGAAACGCTTTATATTTGTTGTCAACAAACAACTAAGAACGAGCCTCTATTAGCTCTTGGAGCGAGGACAAACAGGAAATAGATTTCCATCCAAACGAAGACTTCTTGTCAGGGCTACAAAGAAGCTTGAGTCCTGATGCAGGAAGAGAAGCTGTTTGTCAAAGAAAGTCCATGTTAAGATGAAGTTGAAGCAGTTTAGTCAGACTCAAGCACCGACACATCCTCAGCATTAAGAACGATGAATCAAACACTCTGGGATTCTTGTTCCACTTAACGTGTGTGGGAACCTCAGGCTAATTTTGTTGAACAATTTACAAGAGAACACTGTGATCTTCCCTCTGCACACTTAACAGCAGCAATAGTAAGTGACAAACCAATTTTTGGTAACAAGAAATGTTATTTTCTGTCAAAGCAAATCATAAAACTGAATAGATCATACACAAATATTGAGGCCTTCATTTGAGCCAGGGCTATAGCTGAAGAATGTATCGGCCTTTCCGCTCTAACCCTGTCAGAAAAACAAAGAGTCACTAATCTGGGAGTGATAATGGACCCTTCCCTGAAACTTAACAATCATGTAAACATGATTGTTAAATCATGCTTCTTCCAACTGAGGCGGCTGTCTAAACTGAAGCCCATATTGTCCAAAAAGAACCTGGAGACAGTAACACATGCATTCATTACATCTAGGCTTGATTACTGCAATTCACTCCTGTTTGGTATCAGTCAGACCTCCATTGCACGACTACAACTGGTCCAGAATGCAGCAGCCCCATTTTTAACCAGTACAGGCAAAAGAGAGCACATTACACCAGTTTTGGCCTCACTGCACTGGTTACCAGTTCACTTTTTAATCCAGTTCAAAATACTCATGTATGTCTACAAATCACTGAACAGTGTCCCCCCCC